CTGTCTTTAAAATTCGGTAGGCATGGAGAACTTTCATCTTGCATGTACAGGGTGATCAGAAAATCGGTAAATATAAAAATCGTTCAAGAATCAAGATCTTATGCTGCTTCTTTTACTATTTTTAATATTTCCGTTTCAGAATCGCTCGATTCCATTCTATGTGTTTTAGTTGTTTCAATAATGCTTTAACCATGGAATATTTCAATCAAGGAATCGACATACATACATGCTTTGCTTTTTCCGAAAAAATAAACAAGAGACTTTTTTAGTAAAATTATTTAATTTTTCGAAACATACAATCATTGAATTGTTTGTACATCAATTCGTATTGTTTTCGTGACTTCCCAGGTACTAAATTTGATCCTCCTGCTTCTGGTTCTTCTTCTTCTTTATTTCGGAGCTCATCTACATTAACACAATCACGATTAAATATTTTTAATTCCGTATTTTAATTCAAACTTTTAAGATCAATAACATTAACATTCCTCAGTAGCCATATTAATAACAAATGCAAATTGCAAAAAAAAAGTAGATTGTTTGCATAAATAACAAGTTCTCTAGAATAAAACATTATCCAATATTTACCACGCCATTGAAATTACGTTAAAAAATGCGTTTCTTTATAATTCTATGTACCTACCTACAGGGTTAGTCACTATAATCTGACAACTTATTATGAGTTTATTATTGAAATTTTTAATACAAAACTTTTAATCTTTTTTATGAATTTTTATAATACAGTATTATAAAAATCAATTGAATAATGGGAATCACTAAATTAAAGAAAAAAAATAATGGAATATTAGTGCATACTTAGCTTCGTTAATTTTTTTTTTTTTCAAAAATATATAATATGTTACTTTTCGACTATTTTTGAATAAGCAGGAGGGAAATTTATGTCTAACGGATAAATCTTTAATTTAGTGATTTCCATTATTTAATTGTTTTTTCTAATACTGTATTATAAAAATTCATAAAAAAGCTAAAACTTTTATATTAAAAACTTTTTTGTAATTTCAATAATAAACTCACAGTAAGTTGTCAGACTAACCCTGGACATATTATTTAACTGAATAGTAAATATTATAAACACCATTATTTTTTAGCTTTAGCCACAAAATTCATAAAAAACTAATTTTACTGCAGTATTTAACCTTTTCATTCTAATTTCCTAATAATTTCTTTTAAAATTTATGCATTTTTCTATGTTCTACAAGAAATGCGAAATCTATTTTTGAAATTGAAAACTTTGTGCATTTTTACGTACCTTCTGTTTTGCAGGAAAACATTCCGGCTTTCATATTTTTGGAAGGTATTATCAGGGACGGGCGATTTCGTACACCCCGTACGTGGACTCATTATTCAGCGTCAAATTCGGTCGATTCTCAGAGATTAACTTTAATCGAAAACCGCTTCATCCGCTTTTATGACGTGTATTTATTTTCAATTACCAGGAATAAATGCCGAAATTAAAATTAATTGGGCCGCGGTAATAACACCCTGTAGTGTTTGAGATAGGCCGGAGCCGGAGCGATCGGCTGATTACTGTGTTTAGTCAAATTGGGGATAATTTGGGTAATGTCAAGTTCGGATAGCCATATATCATGATGTGTCTTTATTACGGGACAGCGATTTTGACAGGATGGCCTGGGGGGCCACACGAAGGCCAATTCGGCGCGAAACCGGGGCCCGGCCCAAGCCCGGCTGAACGCCTGTGCAATACGATCGATTCGAAAGATCGGCAAAATAGTAAAAAATTGAACAAAGTAGAAAAAATAGTCATTTTTAGCAAAAAAGGTAACTCTAGTAATAAACACTTTGATAAGTTTTTAACATAGATATACATAATTCTGTTATTGCAACACATCACGATCGATTCGAAAGATCGGCAAATATGCGTTATCCATCACAACAACTGCTCCTGGCTCCAGATATGATAAAACATATTCAAACCATTTTTCAAACACGTCGCTGTTTATATCTTCATGATAATCTCCCGTTTTTCGTGACTCAATCTCTTCGCTTCCAATATGTGTTATAATCAATCTTCGTCCTTTTCCAGAAAGTGCCTTTAATCCAGTAGAAAATCCATCTAAAAATGCTTGTCTCTTACTCTTAACATTACCATCCTGCCAAACTTTTGATACAGTATGACCCTCGTTTACCCATGTTTCATCCATGTAATATATCTTCTTACCAGATGCACGAAGTTCTCTTATTTTTTCTAAGTATTCTCTTCGCCATACCACAATTTCGTCTTTTTTAACGAGCATACTATTCCAATTTCGTTTCAAATATCGAAAATTCATGTCACGCATTATTCTTCTAAGAACCTTATCAGAGAAATTAGGAATATCCTCATCTTCAGCTATTGCAGCTTGAATTTTCTTTATCGTTGGTATTTCATTTCTAAAGAAAAATCCATGAATTTTCCTACGTATGGAGTATTTCACGTCAACGTCGACTTCTATTTTCTTCCTCCCTCGTGTTTCCACTTTTTTCTTCTTTGGATTCACTTCTACACTATTTTTTATGGCACGATAAACAGTAGCAACGGATACTTTTGTCAACGAACTACACATATCAACAGCTTCACTTACACTTGTATTAGAATTTCGCGACCGAATTCCTTTATACACGTTTTTTACCATTATTAATTCCGCATCGCATAGGTTAGGGCGTTTATGAGCAACAGACCGTTTGCTACAACCGGCACTTTGATCCATTTTAATTATTATTCCTACGTTTTAAAACGTCCCGATTGTATTTTTTT